ATAAAGTCAAATCGCAAAAGCGAAAAAAATATGCACGAATGTACCCCTAGGCAGTGCGTGCACGAACCTGCCCCACAACGTTATTTGTAATATATTTTAAAATTTCTTGTTGAAAAATGACACTTTTTCAGCAAACAAGTTTGCAGCGGTTCCGTGAATAGAGTGAGCTTCTTCGCCCCCCCCCCCCAATTTTGAAAAGCTGAACCACATTTCCGAGTCAGGATCACGAAAATGGATGTTATGAGAAAAGTTTGGAAAGCGCACGAATATTACAACTTTGCGCTTTTATCAAACATGCCATGACAGCAGGTACGTACATTATTGTCTTCTATAGTACACGATGGGCGACAATGATAGACATATTTTCATAATTTACCTTGAGCTCGTGCAGTCACTCATTTTCCTATAAGCTGCTGAAAACGAAATGCCCCATGCACGAAAGTGCCCCACTCTCCCCTACGTGTGCACGTGCAGGGGGCGTTTCGCAGATCTCGAGAACGGCTAGGTCGATTGCGTTCAAATTTGTTTAGCATTTAGGGACCGGCTGGAAGAGTGCCGTGCAAAAGTCACTTTGGACCCAGTTTACACGTGCGCACGTGCAGGGTGCCACTTCCAGATCTCGGGAGCGGCTGAGTCGACTACCTTCAAAATTGGCACACCGCTAGTGACCGGTTAGTAGGGTGCAGTACAAAAGCCAGTTGCAAGTACCCTCTCGAGTCTCGCCCTTCCGCATGTGCAGAGCTCACTCTCTCGCTCGCTCGTTCTTCGCCCAAAAGGCGTTTTACTGGTATTATTAGCCTGCTTTAGCTTAACCTGCGCCGTGCTGGTGGTCTGAGTTTTCCGTGTCGTGCTTGGATGGCGTTTTGACGTCTTCCCCCTTCCCCCGTCCAGCTCGGCTCCTGGGCCACGTAGCGACGGCCGCGTCACTTTCGCTTTCGCATTGGAAAGAGCGTCACAATAATGACAAAGTATTTCAGTCATTTTCAGGCTAGGTCAAAAGTCAGGTCACCAGAGATTGAGAGGTCATCAGAGGTCAAATTTTGCCAATTTCAACAATTTTCGAAAAACCGGCGTATATCTCAGGAACTAATAGAGTTACAGTGCCGCGGAAAAGCGCATTCACTGAAAACCAAAACGATTCTCTATTCCCTTTGATCATGGTGTGTCATGCTCCTATAACTCTGCCGTTTTCCTGGCGGAATGCCCTTAAAATACTCAAATGATTCCTCAAATGATTCCTTTTAAGCATATCAGGGGTTTTGGTCTAAAACAACACCCTGATCATTTTCTTCGAACATACCCAAACTATACCCTCATTCTTTAAATACCTCCCTTGAATTCTTCTAATATACCCTAGTGTACAGTCTCTGCCGCTACTGTCAGATACCGTACCTGTGCCGCTCGGCGCCTCCGGCGGTGACCGGTCGGCGGGCCGGGACTGGCCGGCCGGGCGGGCGAGGAGGACAGGCAGTCGCTCCCTGGACGTGTTGCTGACCACTAACCCGCGCCCCGCTGGGCTATTCAGCCATACGCGCCCTGCTGGGGATAGAACCTTAACCCTCGTTTTGGATGTGTTACGATATATAAAGGGAAATCGGACGAGGGAGCTGAGAGTAATGAGACAGTTTCTGAGCAAGTTCTACGACAAATATACCTAGGGCATTATTATTTTCCCTTCTGGGTTTATGTGGGGTCTAATGCAATAATACATTGAGATCAGTGATGGAAATCACAGAATAATACGAAAGTGTTACGTGGTATAATGCGAGTATAGTTTGCAAAATATTCCCCTTATACGCTTAGAAGGAATACTAGAGGTTTCGATGTAAGGGTATTTTGGTAGGTTAAGAGGAGTGAACTGTGGGTGTCGCAGGGAATAGAACAGGAATCATATTCCTTTCCTCTTCGGTACTTACTAGGGTATATTAGAAGAATTCAAGGGAGCTATTTAAAGAACAAGGGTATAGTTTGGGTATATTCGAAGAAATGATCAGGGTGTTGTTTTAGACCAAAACCCCTAATATGCTCAAAAGGAATCAAAAAGGTTCTCAGTGTAGGGAATATTAGAAGAATTTCAGAGTGATATTCAAAGAAAGTGTATTTGGGGTATATTCGGAGAAATGATCAGGGTGTTGTTTTAGACCAATTCCCCTAATATGCTTAAAAGGAATCAAAACAGCTCTCAGTGTTCGATAGCTCTTTTAACGCTCTTTCTGAGGTGTCCTCAGGTTTGACCTCAGGTCAGTACCTATAGCAATTTCCAGGTTTCTCGAAGTTCCTTAGTATGATGAAGTTGTGTAACTGCACTGACCTCAGCTGGCCTAAAAACACTATGTATTGTTCTGAAAGATCGTATAGTGAGCTATCTATTACCTACTTTTACTTCCACGTCTTTCTAACGGGTGGTCGGTATGAAGCTGGAAAAAATTTGATTGAGTGTGGCTTTGATTTGATTGATTGATTGATTGATTAATTGAGTAAATTGAGCATAGATCGAGTTAACTAATATAGTAGCTTCCTCAGTTTTCGAGATAGCTTGGTGTGGCCAATTTAGGCCATATATCCCTTCCCCGTACAATGACGAAGCGAAATGAGACTCCACAAGGACGCGGGCTAAGGTTCTATCTAGGTCATTCGTTGATCTTCCAGGTCAGCTCTAGGTCAAGTAGGTAGGGGAGAGTGGGGCAAAGCGGCCACCCTAACGCTTCTTACGATGCCAACGCTTGATTTTTAAACTTGGAAAGATTCTTTCTATACCAATGTGATCCCTTTTAACCCACGCCCCGTAGGGGGCCGAAACGGCCCCCCTGTCCTTTTCCGTCGATATCTCCTAAACCGCTGGAGATATTGCCACCAAACTTTCAGGACCCCTCCGGACATCAATTTTACACATTGTGACCAAAAATTTTTCCATAGGCTATGATAGGTTGGCCACAAATGACGTCAGAATGACGTCATGTTCTGTCATTTTCGACAGAAAAAAGACCTTTGCGAGAAGACCTTTCAGGCCTACAGATTTGAAGATACAGAAAAATGACCAAATTATAAAAGGGGTATAATTGACAGGGCTACAAAACTGTAATCTCGGATGTTTGAATTTTTTGAGTTTTGACCCCCAAAAATCAAAAAAGCATTTTTTTCTAAATATATTAGCCACAAAATCAAAAAAAGTTTTTTGAGTTTCGAAAAAACCGGAATATATGTGATAGTACCTACCATCTTCTATCTACATACCAAATTTCAGATTGATACCTCGTTTTTTGGCCAAGTTATAGCGAACAAACTGTTAAAAAATGATGACGTCAAATTTTCAAACTCAATTTTCGGCAATTCTAGACCTCGTAGAGCAAACCAAAGACCACCATTAGACTCCCCGTGACGAGCTGCATCGAATCGATACCCATTTTATGCAAAAATATCAATTTTGAAATTTGACCTAATTTGACCTGACCTTGACCTGACCTTCACCAAAACGTGACCTAGGCTGGCCCCAAAGGCTGTCTAACCCACATAATCGCATTTGTCATGCAAAATGGACCATAAAACATGTATCACACTACACTTTCAAAATGTGACCCCGGTGACCTGACCTCGCTGTGACCTGACCTGGTATCAGTGACCTCAGATAGCAAAGTATGTGTTTGACGAACAATGTACCATCGTTGGTTCTCAATAAATTACCAATTTACTCGATTTCACAACACATTTCTTGAAATGCCTGTGAACGGTGAAAATCCGACCTTTGACCTGACCTGTGACGTCATCGGTTTGACCTAGGTCAATGAAATTTGGTCTCAAGGTAGTTCCCGGGTGGGGCTATCGAAAGCCGTTTGAATTTTGAAAATCGGCCGGTAAATTTTTGAGATCTAAGGGGGGGCCGAAACACCCCCCCCCCCCTACGGGTGGTAGGGTCCGCCGGTATTCCTATTCCCTACGGGGCGCGGGCGGCGCGGGTTAAGTTGCCATTTATTTCAACTGCGTTTTATTTCAAAAGGCGTTCACATATGAAAGATATTGACAAAACTTTAAACCTATGCATATTGGCCACTTTGCCCCATACCCTGGGGAAAAGCAACCACCGGCGTCTTCTCAAGTCCCGATATGAGAAACAAAATAGTTGCCTCGTGTACGACTAGGGTATTTGATGGTGACAAGGTTAAGCGAGGATGGATGTTTACTTTATCATCTTCCACCTGTAGGTAAACAAAAAAAGGATTTGCATGAAAAAAAAACATTTAATTGCATTATTTGGTAATTCATGCAACTGAAAAGTGGGCAAGATGAATGCATGACGACACATATGAATATAAATAATGTTTTTTTATCCAGATGAAAACAACTTATGGCCAATTGGGGGGTGGCCACTTTGCCCCGGCCACTTTGCCCCGCGCATACCGTCCGAGACAAAAATATTCCAGCTTAGCTATTAGTGGGGTAAAAAACATTAAAATTGGTAGAATACATGTACGATAACCATGCAATGCATGGACAAGAACGCTTATAAAAATTCCAAACGGTGATGGAATAACATAGCATTTAAAAATTGTAAACATAGTTGGTAACCTGGCAAGAAATGCTTTTCCGTGTTTCACAGAACAATGGTGATGGGCCTGAAACCCCGGTCTGGCTCATTCGAACGACAGTGAAGAGAAGTATAATTGGAAACCATAAATTGGAACTGACGCCAGCTATGAAGGGCTAAAACGATGGGTGGCCGCTTTGCCCCACTCTCCCCTATCTTTGCAACTGTCCTCTAAAATTTAAAAAATGTGAATACCGTCAACTACAGACGTTTCATGTCTTATTATAAGTCATCTTCTCCTGCAGTGGCGCTGGGTATCGGAGAGGGTCTACCTTTATGTACATCCCCTAAAGTCCCAGTGGAGGCTGAATCGTGCCCGACCCTCTCAAAATGCTCAATCACATAATCGGCTGAGTCGTTCCATGGTAGGTAAGCCTTAGGTAAGTGCGGATAACGGGCAACAACTATAAACATGTGCTTTATTTTGCATTTATTTCATTGTATTTTTTTCTGAACAAATAAACAACAGTTCCAACACACAACACAACAAACGTTCCCGTTTTACCCGACCCCAGCCTAATAACGTCTGGCAGGTGGTATAGAAACACTGGCCTGTTACCAGCAGCGCCCTCTTCAGGGATTATTTCGTCAGTCTCTCGGCCACCGCTGCCGCTGCTGCCATCTCTGCTCAGCTTCCTGCGGCGGCCACCAGATGGCAGGCAGGTCGCTCGGTCACCGCCCAACTACCTCTGCCAGTGCCGTCTATTCCGACCTCAGCTGAGCTCAGGGCCAGGCGGCGTCAGTGGCCCCCTGTTGCGGCAGTCTCTGACCGCCGAATGGGGGGAAGCTGGGCAGCGGAGAGGGGCGAGCCTGGGGGGAGAACTGGGAGGGCTGGAAGGAGGCTGAGTTGACGGAGGCCTGCTGGGACTGAAAGCCGGGCTGGCCGGGCCGGGAGCTCACGCTGCTGAAATCATGGCGCACCTGGACCCCAGACGCGCCGGGAGACGGGTTCACGCCGGCCTGGCCCTGTCCCACCCCGGGCGTCAGGCTGGGCGACATACCGCGGGCGATGTTCTGCAGAGCGCGCTGCGTCAGCTGATTCACATACGAGTTGATGTCAGGCATCTGGATGAAGGGATAGCTGGGCCGATTGACGGCCTGGAACGAGCCGCCCGCGCCGCCGGCTCCGGTTAAACCAGGATTGGTGTGACCGAAGGAGCCAAAGGCAGGATTCGCCACACCGGGAGATACAGGGACAGGGTTTGTCAGACCTGGTGTACCTGCACCCGGAACAGCGGGGCCGGTGGCTCCCGGGACAGGCTGGGCGCCCTGTGAAGGCGCCCCCGACCCGGCGGTTCCTGCCGGGAATCCAGCAGCACCACCGACCCCCGGCACCTGTTGAGCCGGGTCCTGCGAGCTACTGCCAAAGCCGCCTCGGACACCCAGGTCCGTCTGCGTGCCCTGAGCGGTGTTCCATGGTGTGTAGAAGCCTCCCTGCGAGCCGGGCTGCTGTCCAAAGGGCGCCCACGGGTACCGTCCGCCTATGTTGATGTGGAAGTTGGGATACTGAGCGAGGATGCTGCGGTAGGCCTCCTCAACTGCGTTCGGCACGCCCGAAACCGGGGGCTGCTGTGTGCCGCCGTGGCTGCCGAGTGCTGGCTGTTGTGAGGGATCGGCCACTCCGGGTTGGAAGGGGTCGGACTGGGCAGGGGCCTGGCCGCCAGCCCCCAGACCCGGCTCCGGCCCCTGCGTCGGTCCCTGAGACGGCCCCTGCGCCGGCCCCTGCGCCGGTCTCTGCGCCGTCGGCCGGGCCGGCTGCCGCGGCGTGCCGAAGCCGAAGCGCACGCCCAGGCCGCCGTCGTCGCCGTCGGGCAGCACGTCTGTGGTGTGTGAGGTGTGCGTGCCGCGGTCCACGGGCCGGCCGTTTTCTACGCTGCCCCAGGCTGAGGAGGACTGCTGGGTGACGGTGGTCTCCGCGCGCGCTGCTGCCGGCCAGGTGAGCAGCAGCCAGCCGAGCAGCGCACCGCCTGCAGCGCACAGAGGGGTCACACGTCACACACAGGCGGCGTATATCGGCCCATCACCTCTCAGCCCAATCACCTCAGAGTCACACCAAATGCACGAGTATGGTCACGGAGGCTCCAAAGGTCACCATCAAACACACTTCAGTATTGCATTTACCGCGGTAGACCATTAACTTTTATTTGTGACACTCCGGAGTTTGAGTACTGGATCTCAAATTACTTAGTGTTCATGAGTGATCACTGTTTTTAAAAAGCACTAATGGATGCTGATTAGCACAGCATGAAATCCTAAATTGTGCTTAAGTTATATACTTTAAATACAACTTAATTTAAACGAATGGCAGCTTACGAGTATAGCTGGTAAGCAAGCGTGATCTGTAGCGCTATGCGCTGCCGTTTTCTTTACGTGAGAAAAATTTGAGGATCGTAAAAATAGCTCCAACCAATGTCTTGGCCTTAGTAAAAGCTGGCCGGGAAAGAGGTACACAGCCTCGAGAATGCTCTCATTATGATCAGCTCGTCAAGACGCATCGATTGATATGCATATTGACCTTGAGGTCAAGTGACTTTAGGTCAACCTTCAACCTTGACCTTTCGAGGCCAACATATATATATATATTGATGCGGATTGACGAGTGGATTCCGACGGTAGGTACTTATTAATTTTGCTCTTGTCTGATTTGGTTCAAAAGTTATTCGTAAAAACTCTCTTGCTCACGAGCGCCACTTTTGCTTTTTTGACCCCTGTGACGTCATTTTGACCCCACCTAAGAATGACCTGGACACAAATTGTAGAACTTGTCCGTCTGTATCCGATTCCATTTACTGTCCGTTGCTAGCTTACTTCGTGATCAAGATCTAAGGGATGGGGCGAGGTGTGTGTGTGTGTGGGGGGGGGGGGGCAGGTATCCATCCTCTCCTAACTTTGTATGTACGGCTCTCGCGAGATTAAGCGGTAGGTTTTGCACTTTTACATTTCCGGTTTTATCTCAGAAACTAATCGATCTACGATGAAGCCACTTTAACCCTCGCCGGCACAGGCCATTTTGCGTCAGTTCGACGGCACCAGGGGGGTTGATACGTACGACCCCCCCCCCCCCTCGCGTTTGGCCCCTGATTGAGATAGAGCTTCGCGAAAGAAAAACGAGCGTGTTGCCCGTCACGAGAGGAAGCCGATGATACCCAATTTTAAGGTCCTAGGTCATCGGGTGACCTTCCAGGTCAGGTCAATGACCCGAAAACCGGGAAAATCGGGACCTGTTAGAAAGTCGTAAAGTGTGGATGCTATGTGGTTTTCCGGGGTGCTGATCACGAATATCGTGTTAGTTTTGATCAGAGATGATGTCTTTAAGCATTTAGACCAGGTCGGGTCAGGTCAGGTCAGGTCAACCGGTAGGGGTTGTGACGGGTATTCGTAATGCGTGTCAACCGCCTCTGACAGCTTCGTAACATGTTACGAAGGCACCAAAACTACTTCGTAAATGTTAAAATGGTTGGTAAATTCGAATTCAGCTCCAAAAACTAGCCTAGAAACATGTAAAACTCGAAAAAGTGAACCGAGGTCACCCGAGGTCACCAAAGGTCAATGACCTGACCTGACCTTCAGGTGACCTTGACACTCACCCAAATGTATGGGAGCAACATCAAATCACATGTTTGAAAGTTTGAATCCACGAAAAGCTTGCAAACGCGCGGCTAATACGAGCCGACATACGCCGAATCGCGATTCCGGCCAAACATGGTCTCGGAAAAGAGGTCAAAGGTCAAAGGTCATTTGGGTCAGGGTCATGAAATCTTCAGGGTAGGTGTAAAATTGATCAATGCGAGGGTACTGAAAGTTTCGTCGCGATCGGACGCTTTTACGCGAGTCATTCGCGAAAAACCTTAGGGGGGGGGGGGTTGCATCAACCCCCCCCCCCCCCCCCTGTGCCGGCGAGGGTTAAACGATCATGGCCGGCTTGTGAACCAACAAGTCGATCGCATCTTCAACACTCAAAAGCTTAGGACGACGAAGATATAGCCAGAAGTAGGTACACTAAATTTTATAGGTGCAAAACCTACCGCTAAAATCCGCGAGACCAACTGTACATAGGTGCGCAGTGGGTGCGGAAACCCGCAGGTGCGGGTTTCAAACGACTAAAGGCCAGGGCGCTTTGACAACAGAAACACAATGACGCCAAAAGGAAGGGAAACTTGCATGTGCTTGAGAATCATCCTTACAGGATATAGTTTACTTTTAACATGGGTTTTTTAACTGGAATAGCAGTTTCGTAGCTTGAACTGAGGCTAGCATTAATCAGGAGCTTTTACGGCCCAACAATCACTCGAAGAATCTAGGCGTTTCAGGCGTTTTCACTCAGTCATTTCAGGTGATGAAGGAAGCACAATGTGTACGCTACGCACACCTGCGGCGGGCGAATAAAAGTGTAGACAAACCGGGTATGCTTTATAACTCGCGCCGTGCTGAAGGGGGGGGGGGGGGCGCTTTTACGTCCCTTTCCCCAGTTTTTTTTTTCGCGAATATCTAAAAAAAACGAAAAAAAACGGAGGCGCACTGCTCGTACATCATTTCCGCACATGAGGTGAAAATTTCAGACCCAGGTCGCTCAAGGTCAGGTCACCAGGTCACGTCAACTGACCTTACCTCATAAAAAGTTCAAAGGCTCGCTATAGCTACACAGACTGAGCGATCACTTTAAAACTTTCAGCGATTGATAATATGAGTAGTATGTATAAAATTTAAATCGCAGATTTCAATCTTTGCTATCTGTTACCTAAGGTCAGGTCAGTTGTGCGACCGCTCCATTACAAGTCAATGGGAGAAAATTGAAATGCGCCTCTTTTGGACGAATGTCGTTCAAACCGCTCTCAATCATTAGTTTATAGGCAAACATGACACACTGAATCGGGAAAATGCACCTGTGGGCTGGCCCCTCTCTGTGCCCTTGAGGTCACCTCAGGTCATGAACGGTCACCAGCAGTTTTTTTGCTATAACTTTTGATAGAGACGTGCTAGAGCGGTAAAAACACGTCAGATGTGTTCAGCTTGACTATACGGATCGACTGATATGCACAATAACCTTTTCTGGTCAGATCATGACCTTGACCTGAGGTCAAAGTTAAAAAATGACCTTTCAAGGACACCAAATGGTTCATTTGACGCGTCTCGACGAGAGGAACACGCTGCTGTCAAAAGTAATGTCGTTGCTTTGTTAACCCGCGCCCCGTAGGGCTACCGGCGGACCCTACCACCCGTAGGGGGGGGGGGCGTTTCGCCCCCCCCCCCCTAAGATCTCGGAAATTTACCGGTCGATTTTCAAAATTCAAACGGCGTTCGATAGCCCCACCGGGGAACTACCTTATGACCAAATTTCATTGAACTAGGTCAAACCGATGACGTCACAGGTCAGGTCAAAGGTCTGATTTTCACCGTTCACAGGCATTTCAAGAAATGTGTTGTGAAATGGAGTAAATTGGTAAGTTATTGAAAACCATCGATGGTACATTGTTCGTCAAACACATACTTCGCTATCTGAGGTCACTGATACCAGGTCAGGTCACAGAGGTCAGGTCACTGGGGGTCACAATATGAAAGTGTCGTGTGATACATGTTTTATGGTCCATTTTACATGACAAATGCGATTATGTGGGTCAGGCAGCCTTTGGGGCCAGCTTAGGTCACGTTTTGGTGAAGGTCAGGTCAAGGTCAGGTCAAATTAGGTCAAATTTCAAAGTTAATATTTTTGCATAAAATGGGTATCGAATCGATGCAGCTTGTCACTGGGAGTTCAATGGTGGTCTTTGTTTTGCTCTACGTGGTCTAGAATTGCCAACAATTGAGTTGGAAAATTTGACGTCATCATTTTTGAACAGTTTTTTCGCTATCACTTGGCCAAAAAACAAGATATTGATCTGAAATTTGGTACGTAGATAGAAAATGGTAGGTACTATCACATTTATTCCGTTTTTTTCGAAACTCATTTTTTTTGGATTTTTTGGCAAATATATCCAAAAAATGTTTTTTTGATTTTTGGGGGTCAAAACTTAAAAATTTCAAAGATCCGAGGTAGCAGTTTTGTAGCCCTGTCAATTTTTCACCTTTTATGTCTCGATTATTTTTTTTGTATCTTCAAAGCTGTAGGCCTGACAGCTCTTCTCACGAAGGTCTTTTTTCGGTCGAAAATGGCAGAACATGACGTGATTTTGACGTCATTTGTGGCCAACCTATCATAGCCTGCGGATTTTTTCTTCACAATGTGTAAAATTGATGCCCGGAGGGGTCCTGAAAGTTTGGTGGCGATATCTTTAGCCGTTTAGGAGATATCGACGGAAAAGAACAGGGGGGCGTTTCACCCCCCCCCCCCCTACGGGGCGCGGGTTAAGTAAAACGTTATTAAGTGGGACTTTAAAGTCATTTTATCTTTTACTCAGGTTGATAAGTTAATGGTATACTTTTCAGAGTCTCAAGAGTAAATGTATTTTTTTTTCTTTAAATGATGGCAAATATTTCGACCCCCATTGAGGAGCCCCCATTGGTCTGCATCGTTTATTATTCCATGTAATTTCGCATTGAAAAAGGCTCCTCAATGGGGGTCGAAATATTTGCCATCATTTAAATAAAAAAAATACATTTACTCTTGAGACTCTGAAAAGTATACCATTAAAACGTTATTGCCGAAAAAAACATTTTTGTTCGTGAAAATGTCAATTTTTACAGTTTTTGCCCTCTGGAGGCTAAATCATTGAAGTAGGTCAAATCTGAGAGCAATAATCAGAAAGGTATGTAAAAGGGCTCTCCAATGCGCTTTTCTGCGACGCTGTAGCTCTATTGGTTCCCGAGTTAGCCGTGAGCAGTTTCCAAAAATATTGAAATGGACTAGATCTGACCTTTGATGACCTCTGTCGACCTGACTTTTGACCTGAACTAAAAAATGACTGAAATGTTTCCGTCATCATTTTTGACGCTTTTTCAATTGCCGCTTACCGCGTGTCGCTACGTGGCC